GATCCCAATGATGAATGTAACTGTATTTTGTACCTATAATGTACCAATAAAGTTAATGGGTGAAAAAAAAAAAGAAGAAGAATCTTGGTCCAAGGAGAACAATGCTAAGCAGATCTTCTGGAACTGAAGAAGGGCGATACGATGGAGACAGTGTTTCATAAGCATTTGAGGACCTTTGGAGAACTGAAGGAGGAGCGTCTAAGTTCAGAGACCACCAAGAAACACAGACAGGAGCCCAAATGGCCATGAGGTTCCTGTTCACGGCGAACCTCAGAGAAGCCTAGGGGCGAACAGGAGCCAGGCTCCTACCCAAACTGATGCCCCAACTACAGGCCTTTTCTTTCTTTGGTACCGGGGATCGAACTCAGGTCCTTGCGCTTGCGCAGCAGGCAGCGAAACCACTGAGCTAAATCCCTGGCCTACAGTCCTTTTCTTTGACAACCACAGAGACAGTGGAATAAAAATGTATCCCCACATGAAAGGTCTCAAAAGATTTACCTCCTTTATGCCTTTGTCAGGAAGCCACTGGAAGAGAAAACAATGGAAAAAGAAAGCTTTGGATCCACCCGGGACCAGTGCCCCAGTGCAAGGGCACTGACTGAGCACCCTTGATTGACAGCTGGGTAGCAGTTTGGAAAAGGAATAGTTCCTCTGGGAGGCTGAGGCCAGAGAATCGAAAGCAAATTTGAGCCCAGCAACTTAGCAACTTAGTGGGACCCTGTCTCAAAAAAAAAAAAAAAAAAAAAAATCCTTGTCCAACAACTGAGTTCTATTCCTGCGACTAGATCATTAAATGAATTGGTCGCTAAATGAGGAATTGTGTAAATATTCAGAACAAAGAAATGGTCCAAGGAACCTCCAACTTGATGATTTTGCTTTTATTTGCATAACTCTTACATGCAGCACTGTAGTGGTAACAACATAAAATTACAGGACTCTACAGTACAGTACAATCAGCAAAAATTACAGTTCTGTATAAACAGGTATACTGTTCAAAAAAAGACACTGAGGCTCCATAAACAAGACATGCAGAACTGTGCAAAAGTAGAAAATGAAAAAGACAGGTCGTAGGTCCAAGTGGCAGGGTGTAAGTCTGGATAACACACCTTGGGTGTAAAGCAGAACAGTTGTTAGACAGCTAGGTCATTAAATGAGGAATATCTGTAAAGAAAATGGGCTGGGACTTAGCTCAGGGCAAAGGCCCTGGGATCAGGGAGGAGGGAAGAAATAGTTCTTATTTTTTACCAACTGGGAGGATGGGGCTTCTGAAAGTGAGGTCTTCCAGGAACAGATAAAAATGATTGCTTCATGGTTTTAATCAGAATAATCAATAAAACTGATTGATTGATTGATGGTTACGAAGAGATAAGAAATATTAAGGTACATAGGAAACCAGGTTAATAGAAAATTAGGAAAATAGTGCTTACATAAGGGTCAGAGTTGTACAAGGAGATGTAATCAGAGTGTAGCAATTGACAAGCACGATTATTTCAAAATGATGCAAATACCGAATGTTGATTTCATGTCCAGTGTTTGGGTGTTTGCTAAAAGAAGGAACAGTGGTTTGTGCTTTCTGCTTTCACAATTAACTGCCCAACCACAGGGGCTTGAATTCCTTCTTTTTTTTTGGTAGCGGGCATCACACTCGGGTCCTTGTACTTGCGCAGCAGGTGGCAAAACCATTGAGCTAAATCCCCGGCCCAATTCCTTCTCTTTTACCGGGATGCTGATTCCTTTGTCAGGGTGGAAGCCCACTACAGCAAAAGGCAGAGGGAAGCTGGGCATGGCGGTGCATACCTACAGTCCCACCACTGTGGGAGGCTGAAGCAGGAGGGTTGCAGGTTTGAGCCCCACCTTAGCAGATGAGTGACATAGGGAGGCCCAGGCTCAAAATAAAAAATAACAAAGAGGGCTGGGGATGTAGCTCAGTGTAGAGGCCCTGAGTTCAATCCCCAGTGCTGCCTCCAGAAGGGTCAGGGTGAATCTTCATGACGCTAGGGGGACCAAGCCCGGGATCCCCACATTCTGTCTAGCAAAGGAAATCACAGACCTGGAGGCCGTCCATCCTCACACACCCAGGAAGGATGGACAGATTTAACCTGGAAGCCAGAGGATGGGATGTGTCTTTCCACTCTGTGAGCTTAGAAGAAATTAAAGCAGATTCACCCAGAATTTAGTTCTGCGTCCTTTCCTTTGCCAAACACGCAGAGGGAACTCCATTTCTTCAGCAAGAAGTGCTGCATTAGGGCTGTTTTTCTTTAAAGTCTGTTCACATCCTCGGCACAAAGGGCAGTGAGCACTTCCGGCTGGAAGGGGCCTTGCTGTGGACGGCTGCTCACCACGGAGACAGTAGCTTTTGAAAGTGGGACTGTTAGGGGCTGGGAAGGGGACTGGTGGGGGAGGAGGGGAGGGTGGGAGAGGGTGGAAGGGAGGCTGGACACGGTCCGTGCACGATATAGCCATGTGTGGAACTGTTACCACAAACCTGCTAATCTGTTCAACTAGCATGGGTTAATAAAATACATTTTAAAACAGGTGCCACGAACAGGGCTGGCTTCATGGCACGAAGCTTGGGCAGTGGCACAAGGTGGTTCAGAATAGCCACACACTTGGTTTAACGTTCTGCTGCTATCTTGAAATGCTTGGTATCCTGTCTTTGAACCCGTGGAAGTGAATTCTGATCAGACCGAGGTGCATGGCTCGAGCACCAGAATGTATGATGTGTTCACTTGCACTGGTGCTCACTGTCTTGGGACACGTGGCATAGGCAGTGGCCAGGGGCACCATGTCATGGAGTCATGATTCATGGGGCTCCAGCAGCACTCTCGGTGGGTACAAGCACCGAGTAAGCCTGTCTCCAAGTAAGCCTGTCTCTTCTGTGATAACCCCAGGGAGGCAGGCTTTCCATACAAGCTTGAACTTGCTTCAGATACAGAAGTATCGGTGTTCCGAGAAACACGCATGACCGAGGAAGCCCATCCTGTCTGTACTCGGGGTACCTTCCTGTGTTAGCCAAACACTTAGGCTGAAAATCATGGTATAGAAACCCAGCACACTCCACAGTTCCTTCTCCTTTCAGTCTTTCTTTCCAGGAAACCACAGGTGAAGAGTATCGGTACAAAGCGCTCGTACAAAGATGTCAAATGCAAACAATTCAGCTTGTTTTGCGCAGTGTTTCCACAGTTTTGTAAGAACAAGATACACACTCACATATGAACTGCAAAACATGAATCACAGAACAGAACCTCAGTCTTATGTGAACAAGGTCAATGTTCTTGTATCTGGATTTAAAACAGACACCGCACAAGATAAAACTAGTGGTAAAATGTAGGCAACAACTTAAAATTTTATCTTTTCTTTCCTTAGCATGATATGAAATAGCAAAAATGCCTCCCAAAACAACCACATAAAAAAAAGCCAAAAAAGAAAATAAGGAAAACCAAGGACAATTCGAGAGTGCAGCCGCAGGAGAGGACAAAGCATTACACCGAGATACTCACAATGGCATTTTTCCCCTTGGCCTCTGAACAAGAGACTCCACACTTTGATTTTTCCCCGAGCTTTGCCAATTAAGGAGCTGGTCCTGTCCACTGTATAGCTGGGAAGTTGTTTCCTTGTGAATTTCTAGCGTTGGCTTCATTTGATGACTTTTGGCAGAAGATTTTGTAAATATCCCATTTGCTTCACCACTTCTTTGTACTCCCCTGTGACTGAGGGCTTGCTGAGCACAATTCTGCTCTCCGACGAAGGGCTTTTCCCTGAAGTGGGCGGTATACTAGTGAAATGACCCTTTCCTAGGGTAGAAAGATACAGCGACTCAAACATGCATCAGCCTCATGAGAGTTTGAGCTGCTGGGCAGGCGTTTCAGAGCCCCTCAATAAGATTTTTACTGCTGCAGCTGTTGGTCTATCTGTTGCCTGTGGCTGCTTCCTGTTACAACGATTGAGTTGAGTATTTGAAATAGAGAGACCTATAGTTTGCATAGCCTACAATATTTACTCTCTCGGTTTTGACAGAAAAAGCTTCCAAATGCCATTCTAGAAAAAAGGCACTAACACGAGGCTCATGGGTGAGGTTCTTTTCAGGGATTTTCCTGTACAGACGAGGAATGGGATCCTGAGAAGTATTCAGATGCCTGGAAGGGTTTGAGGCTCTGGGAAAAAGGCTAGGCTTGCGCCGCCTAGCGGTAGAAGTTTTTCATGCCCCAAATCACTTTATTCCTAGTAACAATAATTCTCATTTGAAATCAGTAAGACAAGCTTTCCAGTTGTGCTGGGGGCCTTTCAGTCTTCAAGTTGTGCTGGTACCAAAATTGTTTTCAGTTTCTGTTTTTATCAGGATATGTTTGTGATGCATAATAATTACATTCTTCCTGGGGGATCGGTAACATACATACGACATCTTAATTGTCTTCCCTCCCCCTTCCCTCCCCTCTCCTCCTTCTCCAGATCCTCTTCTGATCCCTGCAAGTCGTAGATTTTCTGAACTTTCCCATATTTGCCTGTGTGACTTAAAGATTATGCCCAGCGAATGTTTAATATCTCGACATCATGTGTGGTATTGCCTATTATTTAAAACTAGAATGAAAGTATCTCCCTAAGGAAAAATTAAATCACAACTAATTAAACGGAAATGATGTCTGTGTAAATAGGGAAGGGTGGAGGGGGTGAAGGACGCACAGGTAATGGGAAAAAATAAGAACCAAGATACATCATGTACAGCTACAAGCACCCAATGATAAATGTAAGCGAATCGTATACCTAAAATGTACCAATAAAAGAACTTAGAAAAAAAATCACCACTAATTATTTATTGGGCATCAAGTGAATGCAAGTGTGTGTTTACCAGCTTTTTCATTTATTTGGAAACAAACACCCAACATCCTGTAGAAGTTACTGAGAAAGGAAGTATTTTGGTTAAGGAACTCATCTTTAGGCATAGAAAGTGTTTTTATTCTGATATTTAGGATGATGCGGGTGTGCTGGGTCCTAAACGGCAGCTAGAAGGGGACCCTCTGCTCTGCCTTGTTGGTCAGTTTCGATGTCTTTTCCTCAATGGAGTGAATCCTGGATGAAAGAACTTTGCCTCGATGATCTAGCTCTTCAACCACCGTCTTTACCAGTGTGGTTTTGGATAAATCTAGAAGTAAGACACGTGTGAATGCATCTATTCACCTGAAGAGGTAAGCTGATTAAGAATTCCACTGTTGGTTGTAATATATTATGCACGTTATAGGGGAGGGAGTAAGTATAGATTTATAACAATAATTTGGAATAGTTGTATAAAACCCAAAATAATACTTTCAGTTCAGAGCATTTTAGTTAAAATTACTGAACTACAGACCATTGTCATATATGACTGCCTTCATCGTAAGAGTTTTTTCTGCGACAGAGACAACTAGATTTTACTACCTTTAGATGAATTCCCTGAGCCTCCTGATCCAAAGCTTTTTGATTTGGAGCATGATCTGTAAAGAAAAAAGAAGTTTATCTTTTCTATCTCTTTTTTCTATCACTTAAGAAATATTATTGAGTTGATGAGCTTCAGTGAAATTTGTATGCCGAAAACATCTTACTTTACTATGGGGAAAAATATTAAGATTTTTGTGGCAGGAACTGGAAATGATTAAGTGTTACTGAAAGAGAAGACATAAAAAATTATTCCTATTTGATTGTCTTGAATTTAAGACTTAAGAAATACATATATTTAAAATGTAAGATCCATATGAAACTTAAGATGACACATGCTGGGCGTCTGTACAGAGCACATTTATTTCAGGGCAGCAGTGATATTAGGAATGAGCTGAACGGAGAAAGTCTGGGCCTGGGACAGAGAGAAGCTGGAAACCCGCAGGGATTTACAGGGACGACGCATGGGAAGGGGGCAGGGGCACTGGCGGGTCTGTACTGTGTGAAGAGATGACCCTGGAGGTCAAAGGGGGATGTGTTTTGTGCAGTGGGAATAAAAAAGAAAGGCTGGGAGGGTGGAGGTTGCAGGCAGGAAGTGGGGATTGTGCCGGTGGGTCACTCACTCCTCATCTCCGGCTATGAGGCGGCAGTAGGTCTCGATCTCCTTCTCCAGGTGCACCTTGACGTCCAGGAGCTGCTCGTACTCGCGTTTCTGGCCCTCAGTCTCGGTCCTGACCTGGTGCAGCTGCTCCTCGAGGGCCGAGATCCTTGCCTGGATCTGGGCCAGCTGTGAGCAGTAGTTGCCCTGGGTCTCGCTCAGGGAGCACTCCAGCGAGTGTTTCTGGGGACAGCGAGATGCATCGTAAGGGACAGACCTGCCTGCCGAGGCCTCTGGAGTCCAGAGTTTCTCAGCAACCAGCAGCGCTGCTCCTGGGGCCAGTTTTGGAAGTGCGTGGGGTTTGTCACAGGGAAAGGACGGTGGAGGCTGGCACTGTCTGGGTGGGGGACCGGACAAGGATAAACGACCCTTTTCCCACAAGACTTTTCAAGGTCCCAATGGACATTCATCGTATTTAAATAATATTTCCGATTAGGACCACCCTAGAAATGAAAGCGCGTTTTTGGAGGGGAGTAACACAGTAAGAAATCAATCTGAAAAACTGCCTATTTATTTCTGCATTGCCTGTTGCATTTCAATTTCACTCTGCTATGGCCCTCACTCTGTTACGTGGCTGTTGTGCTGCAGTTTCCTTTTCGAATCCATCTTTGCTTTTCTGTCACCCACCACAGGCCTCTGAGTAATGCGCCTGAGATTGAGCATACCCCTGAGGGCTGGGTTTTCAAATCCAGAGGTAACCTCACAGAGTCCGGGTCAGCATTCTGGCACTACTCCAGTGAATGTCTCCTTGTCTCCTACTTGCAGTCTGTAATCTGTGTTGGCACAATTAAGCTAATTCCCCTCTTTCCTTTATCATATATTGAATGCACTGGGGCAGTTGATACTTCCGATGTTCGTCATTATCAGCACGGCCAGCCCCTGCCTCTGCACATTTATTTCCCTTTTCTTTTCACTAGAGCAACTCCTGATCATCAATGAAAAGGGAACATTTACTTTATTTTATTTTATTTTATTTTTTTTGGTACCAGGGATCGAACTCGGGTCCTTGCGTTTGTGCTGCAGGCACTGTAAGCACTGAGCTAAATCCCTGGCCCATTTAGCTCAATGGTTTCGCTGCCTGCTGCGCAAACGCAAGGACCCGAGTTCGATCCCCAGCACCAAAAAGAAAAAAAAAAAAAAAAAGAGAAAGTGGTAAGTAGTTTCTATATTGTAGCGAGTAATAAGTTGGGCATATTAGATTCCTTTGTGCCGGGGATTTAGCTCAGTGGTTCCACCGCCTGCCTCGAAAGCGCAAGGACCCTAGTTCAATCCCTGATACCACACACACACGAAAAAAGAATCTGATGAGAACTCTGGAGTCTCTCCTAAGAAAAGGGCACATACACAAGTAAATCCCCGGCCGGGGAACATTTATTAAAAGAAGATCCAAGACTGTCTGACATTTCCTAGGGTGGTTGGGGCTAAGTATTTACAGAATAAATCCGTTTCATTTTAAAATACTTTCCTTTTTAAAAAATTGCAGGTATGACATTATGCTTTTTAAACAATTTTGTGTGTTACTAAATCTATTCGGTATCGGTTTCATTCTAGGATTACAAAGAGACAGCTATAAAATAGCCGACACCATAGGCAGACCCGGAGGGGCCCGAGGGTCACTGGGTCCAGGGCGCCTGACCCAGACCGAGTGAGGACCCTGGCCTGGGCTGAGCGGTGCATTAGGTGGGGGTGTCGGGCCCCCCAGCATTTGGGGGAAGGTGACCAGGAGGCCATGCGCTGGGCTGTGGGGCGGCTCTGGCCGAGGTGAGTAGGCACGTGCACTCGTGGGCCCTTGGTTGTTTTTCACTCCCCCTCGCCCTTCTGCCCAGGCCCTGTTCCCAGCTGCACAAAGCCCGCCTTTCTGTCAAGCGAAGGGCAAAGCCGCCCCGCGGGGAAGATAGGACGCCATCCCCTCCAGCGTCTGTTGGGATCAGGACGTGGGGTCCCCGCAGCCCCTACCGTGGCCAGGAGGGACCTCAGCTCAATTTCCCGTGTCTGCAGCCTGCGCTTCAGCTCCGACAGCTCGGTCCTGGCCCGAGTGGCCTCGCCGGCGTCCTGGGACATCTGCTGCTGCAGCGAGGCGCTCTGCAAGGTGTGGGCTGCGTTAGGCGTTGGCCCTGCCTCTGCACCTGGGCTGCACCTGGGCAGGTGAGCGCGCCCCACCCGCCCTGCCCCGTGCGGCTTTACCTTCTCACCGAACCAGGCCTCCGCGTCCCCGCGGTTCTGCTCTGCCAGAGCCTCGTACTCGGCCCGCATGTTGTTCAGCAGCACCGTGAGGTCCACCCCGGGGGCCGCGTTCACCTCCACGTTCACGTTGGCCCCGGCCGCGCACTGCAGGGCCTTCATTTCCTGCAGGGGACTGAGGGTGACTTGAGGTACTCGACCATTTCCACACGCAGCCTGACTTCCAGGGGGGTTAGTTTATCTTCCAAAGTTTCCGGTGTATAACGTATGCTCCCCGTCTTAAAATTGACTTATGCGATCCATGTCAACACCCATCCCCTATTCAATTAGCTGTTTCTTCCTTTAAAAAACCCCAGCGGCCACCTCTGCAAAAACCAGTCACAGCGTCCCAAGACAATGTTCTTACTGCTTTCTGTGAGGAAGGGGCTACAAAGACCAGAGAGTTGCTCTATACATAATTACTGGTTAAATGTCAGATTGGTGAGAATAGAGAATAAAACCAAATAACCAGCCCAGCCATCAGGGCACATGTCAGGAGAGCAGCTGTCATTTCCAGAGCAGTGATTGTGGACAAAGCCAAGCCTTCAACATCGCCTTGAGGTGGGTGTATTTTACAGATTGGGAAACAGAGGCACAGGGAGGTGAAGGAATGCCCCCGAGTTATTTATGTGATTGGAAGGAGAGGGTTTGGGCTTGTAGCCTCTGCTCCGAAGCCTCTCTGTGAGGCTCTGTCCCGGGTCAGATCAACAACGTGCCGAGCAGCTCAGGGAACGGATTTCTCCACAAATAAGCAACCTGAGGTCCTGCGCTTGGTTCTGTGGGCAGCCAGCCTTTGCATTGCAACTGCTGCGGAAGGACTGACATCTTCCACCCACTTTCCACGGCCCTAAATCCATGACTTTCCAGTGTCCAAAGAGCAAATGATACACACTGCCCAAGGGAACCACTTTTATTTCCATATTTTGGGGTTCTGTTTAAGATTCTATGTGTAGAAAAGTTCTTGTTGCTGGCAGAGTTTGGAAGTTGGGTGGCTTGAAGTTACCCGAGGGGCACTGGATCCTGGGAGCCAGGGTGATATGAGGCTTCGAGGAGTGCTGAGCGTGGCCGGCCTTTTGCTCCTACACGCAGGGCACCTAATGGTCTCCTCTTGCAGCTGGGGTGTCTTTAAGGGGGACAGTGACTCCTGCTGTGATCCCCACACTTTCCTGAGTGTCCCTGCCTGGTTGGCCTGCTCTGGTTGCCATTCCTTCTTGTCTTAGCATTGGTTTTTTTTTCTGTTTTTCCTTCCTTCCTTCCTTCCTTCCTTCTTCCTTCCTTCCTTCCTTCTTCCTTCCTTCCTTCCTTCCTTCCTTCCTTCCTTCCTTCCTTCTTTCCATACTGGGGATTGAACTCAGGGCCCTTTGCCCTGAGCTATCTCCCCATTCCTCTTATTATTTTAAATTTTGAGATAAAGTCTCACTAAGTCACTAAGTTGCCCAGGCTGGGCTGGAACTCATGATCCTCCTGCCTCAGCCTCCAGAGGGCTCAGGCTTTTCTTTTTTGAAGCCACTCTGTCGTGCATGGCCTGTCTTTGCCATCCTGCTAACTCTCTGCTGGTCTAACTCCTCCAGTTCTTGGTTCTGTGCCCCTGTGCTCTCCTCCTTTCTTTCTCTTTTCTAATTTTCCCCTCTCTTTCCCTTAATGTTCTCACTGTGGGCAAGTAGATTTGGTTTTGCTGACATTATTAAACCAATAATGGTTTTTGTCTTAGGGTGTTCTCTGAAAATTTGCTATGTATTGTTCTGGGACTTTTGCAAATACATTTAGATCGCTCTATCTATCATCTGTCTATCTGGAAATAGGTATTTGGAGGGGCTTGAAGCTTCCTATTAAGTATCACATGATGGGTTTATAAGTGCGGTGTTCAACATTAAACTAAACTGCGACTCCCAAGCCAGGGGAAAAAAGCATCGCTTCCTCTTCCGAGTTGGAAAGGTCTTTTGTGCGAACGCTGGCCTCAAGATGGGCTTCTATGGATGAAATACATAATCTAGTTGTGCTAATGCAGAAGTTATATAGTATTTTCAAAAGGATAAATTCTATCAGCCTAAAAAACGGAAGGCCGCAGATCAAACTGTTGCTATTTACTACCTTGGAGGACAAGACTAGAAAGTGGAGTAGGAGAAAGGGAATTCTTTCTCATCTCCTTCGGCACGAATGATTGAATTATTACAATGAGTGTGAATTGTTACTATACCCGCGCACCCTCCCTGTAGTTGCAGTGTGCAGAGTCCTTGAATTTCCTTGACTGGAAATGCAGCTTCTCCTACCTCTTCGTGATTCTTTCTGAGATAGGTCACCTCCTCACTCAGCGACTCGTACTGCAGCTCCCGGTCCATCCTGCAGAGGGTCAGCTCATCTAGGACACGCCTGAGCTCGCTGATGTCGGCCTCCACGTTTTGGTGGAGGGTGAGCTCGTTTTTATACCTGGGGTGGGGGTGGTAAATGAACTTCAGTGCAAGTTAGAGTACTTTACCAGCGGGCAAAGAAAATCTCCATTGATTTAAACTGAATGCCAGAAATGAAATTGGACTCAAAGATATACAGAGAAAGACCCTCCCCATCTCTTCCCGAGTTCTGTGCAGGATAATGTGCAGTTATTTAATCACAGAGATTCCAACAATACATCTCGAGGAAATAAAAATACACCACTTTGGAACCTTATCGTAGTTAACAATTTTTACTTAGTTGACACATTGTTACTGTTCATCTACTTCCGGCTGGACATTGTTCTACCAGGCGGAGAGATACATTGCTACTTGTTCTAAAATGTAGCGAGTGTGTATGGAGTGAGTATAGCTGATTGTAGTATTATGACACAAATCCTTTACTTTCTTTAATCTTTTAAGTTGTAATTTATTCTTCTTGGGATGGAATCAAAATTTGTTTAACAAATGAAAGCTCTTTCTAGAGCACAGTTATTTTCCATCACTTACTTTAGCCGGAAATCTGCAGCAGCCAGCCTGGTGTTGTCAATCTGCAGAATGACATTAGCATTACCAGCAGTCGATGAGATAATCTAGAGGATCCAAAAGGAGACCACCATGAAGTTTTCCATCATTACTTATTATTTCTGGATTTTGACATGGTATACAATTAAGTGTTGCATAAAAATTTACTTCCTTCTGTAATAATCAGAATGTTTAAAATTTACTTTTTAAATAATTAAATCGTTTGAGAGCCAGGCATGGTGGTGCATGTCTGTAACCCCAGCTCTCGAGAAGCTGAGGCAAGAGAATTGCTGTGAGTTCAAGTCCAGCTTGGACTTATCTCAAAAACAAAACAAAAGAAATGGCTTTATTTATTCTCATATAGTCATTAACTTCAAATATAATACTTTCTTATGTATTAATATATTTCAAAATAAAGAATGGAACTAATAACATGTTAGCTACATTGAGTCATGAATCAAAGTGCCTATTTTGAGTAATGGGAAGAATTATTTAGTAAAATAAATCATAAATACAAGTTACAAATATCACAAAGCAGTTCCTGTTGTGGTCCTACACCTTTTCTGGCTGTGTCTTAGCTTTAATACTTTGAATAGCTCCAAGTCTGTGAGTTCTCACCTTTGCTTTGAGATCCTCAATTGTTAGGTGATAGTTGTTGTAGTCATGATCCAGGCCTCGGCAAGATCCAGGGCCGTATTTCTCGTACCACCCCTTGATCTTCTGCTCCAGGTCGGCGTTGGCCTCCTCCAGGGCGCGCACGTTGTCCAGGTAGGAGGCCAGGCGGTCGTTGAGGTTCTGCATGGTCACCTTCTCGTTGCCGGACAGCAGGCCGCCCTCATTCACAGCGAAGCCAACGCAAGCATTTCCAGTGGTCCCCGTGCTGTGGCTCCCGCCAGGAGCACCGCCCAGGCCGCCTCCCAAGGCACAGGGAAATCCACTCCCCACCACAGAGTTTCCACATGCACTGCTGCGGGCAAAGCCGACGCTCGGTCTGCCAGGTCCGGCCCCGGAGTGGAAGCCCAGGAGCCTGGACCCAGCGGAGTATCGGAGAGACATGGTCTTCCCTGAAGCGCTCACGGCCGCCGGGGCTGTCGGGTCAGGGAGGATGGGAGCGGGGGGCTCTCGCGTTGGTTTTGCTGAGCTTTTATATACAACTGGGGGAGTGTTTCTGGTGAGTTAGAGATGGCAAAAGGAAAAAAAGGCATCATTGAGATTAACATGAAATTATATATAATTGGGGGATTTAAAAATAATGAATGTCTAACATCCCTGGGTATTGCTTCAGGGTATTTGTTATCTTACATAAAACGGGGCTTGTTCTATGGTAAGCTCATTAACTTAACTTCTAATTTTGAATGAGTAATCCTTTACTTTCATCTAGAGTGAGGGTATTATCGAGTGTTAAAAGGAAAGGCTGTGAGAGGCTGCCGTCAGCTACAGGAGGGTCTCAATTACTGCTGAGTTACATAAAAGATTATTAACTACAGAGACAGATACTTTATTCCATGAGAGCAGGAATATATTATATAGGTATCTATATTCCTGCTAACTTCTCTATCTCACCATGATCACCACACCTGTTTATGACCTTGGACAATGGCAGAGATATTGCCTTGTAATTTCACTTAAAATGCATAGCTGTGTGCAGTGCCGTATGTTAAACAGGAGAAGTGAAAGATCTGGTGCTAAACAGATGGAGAAGTGAAAAGATGCAATTAAAATCTTTAAGAGATCTATTTTCTGATCCGGCCAGGGGCTGGACCATGTAGTATCTGAAGAGATAGGAACGAGAACAGCACTAAGTAAAAAGCAGAGAACAGCATAGTCAGGCTGCAAGAAGTCCAATGCCAACGTTAGACAAATGGTCCAGGGGGAGGACAGAGGAAGTGCGCATGAAGAGAGGGCGTGGAGAGGATGCAGGGACTGATTGACCCTGGGGAGCAAGGACAAGCTGCTGACGACTCTTTGGTGACTGATTTCAGATGCCGTGAATGCATAATATTAACCGAGGTAGGGGGCAGAAAGACACGGAGCTTCCTTTTGGACCAGTTGGCTTTGGGAGTTGGCGGGATGTCCCCGAAGGAGATGACTGGTAGGAGGAGTGAATGTTCAAAACGATCACACTGGGCAAATACCAGCCTAGCGAGAGGGAAGGGATTGTCAAGGAGATCTGTCCTTGAGCTGCCATTGGCACTGACACGCACCTGAGCATTTGGAAGAAACCCTGGTGCAGGAAGAGAGAGGACAGTGACTGATGTAGATTTGGGAACAAAAGACAGGAAAAGTGCAAGAGAAGTTTCTGGTACTCTCGAGACACAACTGAAATGACTGGTTACGTTCATACAGAAAGGGGAAAGTGACAGCAGAGGGACAGATGGTCTGAGGATTCATGAGGCCTAGGTACAGGCACGTGTGTGAGGAGGGGATGGATGAAGAAAGAGGAAGATGGGCTGGATTGCTGCATGGGGTCATTTACTGTTGCTGTAATAAAATACCAGAGGCTGGGTTTCTTATAAAGAAAAGAAGTTGACTTAGCTGACAGTGCCGGAAGCTGAAGGCCCAGGACTGGGGAGCCCCATCTGGCTGGCCTCAGTGAGGGTCCCTTGGCTGTTTCACAGCGTGGCCGAGAAGTGGAAGGGGGCAAATGTGTGCGGTGGCCTTGCTTTAAAACGGCCCACTCTTTCCACAACTAACTGGGGTCCCGCAAGCAAAAATGACAACAATCCTTTCTCAGGGCAACACAGCTACTGAACTCATAGTCTTCCACTAGGTCTCCCTCCTAAAGTGAGATCATTACTACTTATCATTATCCGTTACTAATTAACTATTCATCCTAATTACTCATTATTATTCAGTAACAATTAGGCCACTAATTGGTGCAACATGCCCGTATTTTCATAGGTAAGTAAATGTTTTCAGAGGAACATTTTACAACAAAAAGGAGAACAAAAACAGATTTTATACTTGGAACTTGCTAAAAGAATAGATTTTAAGTGTCCTCAACAGAGAAAGGTAGTGTGTGATTTGTTAGGGCTAGCCGTCTCGCTGTATACACTTGTTCAGAGATATTATGCTGTATACCGTCTACCTACGCAATTTTTGTCAGTTAAGTAAAAACGTTGCCCACCATACGTGTCCTCCACTCTATTTCCACCAGGAGGCAGTGCTCGCCCGCGAATGAATGCAGTTTAGGCATCTGGGTTGAATCTCAGCCTGGGCCCTGTGTGACCTCACCAGGAAATGACTAAGACAGAAAGCAAGCCCAGCATTTATATTTTTGAGGGTCCAGAGCACGATGAATATAAAGACAAAAGTGCCTTTCATTGCTTGATGCCTGGCAGCTTCCAGAGGGGTTTCTTTATTTGGTCCTTATAAGGAAGCCTGGAAATAGGAAAGGAGAGGTTCCCCCCCTCCTACTTTAAAGTGAAAGAAACAGAGGAAAAGATCTTCAAAGATGCACAACATAAACACGGAGAATAAAGCCCATAGTGGGCCTTGTGATTCAGCATGGTGATTCTTTCAGTGGATATACTCACCTTAGGTCGGGTAGAAAACAATAAAACTTAGTGGAAAAAAATCCCTCTGTAATGAAATGCAAAAACATATTTCTTAGGAAACTCTTCCCTAAAGTTCAAATCAATAGCAAAATAAGAATATTGGCTGCAGTTGTGCTGCCCGTCAAGTGTGATTTATTCATTGTGCATTCAAGAAACATTTAATGAGCACCTATTATGGGCTGGACATTGGGCTGGTAGCGAGCGACATGGCGGAGGACAGATGCCTTCTCAAGTCTTGGGGACTCCCTGTTTAGTGGGAAGATGGTCCCTCAGGAAATAACTGTAACCTTATGAATTGTGCTGACAATTAGGAAGAAAAAGACATGGAACTATTAGAGGAGGTCCCAATGTTGGCCTGGATGATCCTTTTGGAGAGAAGACATTAAGCAATTACTAGAAAGAGGAGAAAGCAATTTCCAGGCAAAAAGCACAGAGGGTCATTCTGGGAGGGGAAGAGACTATAAACGTAGGTAAATGATTTCCATTTAGCCCGAGAAGGTGTATTGATCCGTGTTTCATTTCGGTTACAGAGTACCTGAGTTGCAGCAGTTTACAGTGAAAATAGGCTTGTTCTAGGTCGGGGTTCTGGAGAGCCAAGAGCGTGGCCCACGCTTCTGGGTGGCTCCGGGAGAGAGAGCTGGCCAGGCGAGGTGAGAAGAGGGAGCACAGGGAGGGGCTCGCTCTCCATCACAACCCTTTTGCGGAACTAGCCGGGATCTCTTGGGACCCCACGTTTAGTGCCTTCCCACGGCAGTGTCCCTGGACCTCACCCGCTCCCTCCGGGTCCCACTGCCTCTCAGCGTGGCCACTGTGGGGAGTCTGTGGGGACAAAGAACGGCAGGGGCTGCTGAGGAAGAGGTGACTGGGTCGTGCGAGGGCTTTGGAATTTCATCCTCTGCAGAAAGGAAAGCCACTGGGAGATCTAAGCAGAAGGACGATTGTAGAAAGACCACTCCGGCTGCCCTGTGGAGAATGGGTGGAGGCCAGTGAAAGCAGCAGGTCTGAGAGGTCATTAGAAAGCCAGTTGTAGTAACTTAGATTTTATGTCTAGAGGGCAGATGTCAGGGCAGCGATGGTGACAATGGAAGAGGATGGAACTGGGATAATTTTGGAGAAAGAGCCTCAGTTGCTCCTGGCATGACTGACTGTGACAGGGACAGGGGGACAGGGAAAGGGAAGGATTGAGCCTCCTGTGGCCCCCAGGTCAGTTCACTGCCTGATCTTCAGATGCTGGGAAAGCACTGCCTTACCTGGCAGCAGGGCTTCACAGATGTGGCTAAGCCAATAAGACAAAGATCCTACAGGGATTTTAGTAGATGAATCCCAGTCATGGAGTTGGTACCTCCGTGCAGCATTTGTAACTATGCCCTGTTCTGGAATTCCGCGCCCACCTTGGTGATTCAAGGCTCAGCTCCAGGGGCACATCTTGTAGTAGACCTTCCCCGGAAGACCTTTTGGATGTGGAAGCTGCAGTGCCTTGTGCGTGGTCCTTATCCCTGGACACACACATCTGCAGCGGCACAGGTACAGGGGTGGCTCTGTCTTACTTAACTTTTTACTTCCAGGGCCTAGCATGTTGCCTGGCATATGATGCTCAATGGTGATTGTAGAATGAATGAATGAATGAATGAATGAATGAATGAATTTGATCCACTGAATGAAACTCTCAGGGACTCTGAACTTTTCCTTCCTCCTGACAGGATCCCAGGATTGGTTATTCTGAGACGAATTTCCTGCTGATGCACCGCCCTGGCCATGGTTCGGGAGCTTTGTCCTTTCTCTGACACAGCTGTTTTGCCTGCACTTTTCTGTCTTCCTGGGTGGGGATGGGCTCTTTGCACCAATGTTTACACCTTTTACTGAGCTCCTTCAGGGAGCTGTGCATCCCAGACTTTACCTTTTCTCTTGGTTCCAGAGAAATAAGGAAACGGAACAGTCCCAGTGAAAGCATTGGCAGGCACTGGAGGGATGACCCAGACTCACATTTGCACATCTCCTCCCACTTTACCATCCACTCTCTCAGACTTCTATGACTGGCTGTTTTCAGAAGAGGGGGGACTCATTTGTAAGGTTGGGGATGGTCTTTATCAGAGTTTGGATATTTCCCACCAGGGAAGTACTAAGGATATAGAGCTAGCAAAGTTCCTAGCCCATAAGAGACCTTGAATGTCATGAATGCTCTTTCTTTTCTCAACTCCAACATTTCTGGATGCACCTGGGGAGGTATTGTAGGCATTTACTCCCTTGGATGTGACTCTCTCATTTGATCATTCACTTAATCAATATTCCTGGAGTCTTAGGTATTTGCATGTTGCAAACTGCATGGTTTGGGTTTACAATGGGATGAGCAGAGACAGTTCTCAGTTCTCTGGGATCACAGTCTGGTTTACAAAAGTGTTCAAAGGGCTCCTCAGCTGCTCATGCCAAAACAGGCTTGTTTTGTTTTTACGGGGACCCTTGGCATGCAAAGAATGAAAGCTGTTTTCATCTGTGGAGGAGAACTTCTCTGGCACTTCTGGAAGTGCTGTGTGTATTCATCACGATTGGTTCATTCCTGACATTTGGGAGCTGCAGAAGGATGCTGGATATCCATGGATGCTCACTGCAGTCCTGTACAGAGAACTGTCATGTGCTCCCCATGACTTTTGAATTTCTTATGGGACATTCATGAGCACAAAAATCTGTTAATTTTCTGTCTGGGAACTAGTTTGTGTAAAAACATAAAGATTTTTTTTTTTGCATGGCTGAAACTGAATTTTCCATTGTCATTGTGCTAGATACATATTGTACATGGAAATGTCAGATAGTAGAGACTCATACATCTATTACAAATCACTTAAAATAGGTATATGCATCTTGGGCATGCATGCTCAAAATATTTCTACTGATTAGTCATCTGTCGTAAAAATGCCTACCAACCGCTGCTATAAAGGAAAGAGCTCTAGGCTCAAAATCAGAACTCCTGGGTTCAGGATGTCTCTTGCCCTCTGTGAGGCTTTGGTAAAGTCATTAAGAACTTATGAGTTCTGCACATGTCCCAAGTCTGTTTTGATACTGAGGTGTGTTTGGAGAATTGTAAAGATCTATGTGCACAGGCAAAGTGCAGTTGTTCTATATCATTTAATAACATGAATAAAGACTTCCTTTGGTTTGTCCTCCCAATATAACACAGTACCTTGCATATGGTGATAATTGAATATACATTGTTCAAAAGCATATTTACACGCCTTAGGGTCTTGTAGCTGTCTACATGTCTTTTTCCTAATTAGAACAGAGTGGAAATTCCAGTGGGTTACAGTATTTCGTATTTCTCATCTTAACAATTTCCTCAAATAAGTAAATGGAAAGCATGATATTTCCACTGAGATGTTTATCTTGGTTTTTGTCATCAGTTTTGAAGAGGATAATCAACTCTACTGACAAGGAAGATGAAAAGACATAAAGAAAAACCAGGTGAGATGACAAGAAGTTTAATTTAAATATGTGTGTGTAGATATCTTATAGCCATTTCAGAATGCATAGGTTGTTAGGGAGAATCTCAATTGTACAAGAAGGATTGGCTTTAAAAGCTCTCATGGAAAACTGGACTTATTTCTGTGTGCCCCTTTCTAGTCTGTTGTCCAGGAAGTTGTTTGTTTCTGCTACTTATAGCCTTGCTCTTTGAAGTCAGTAATTGTGCTTCATTCATTATTTTACCCCCATTGGCCTACTGAATGGATGGGTGATCAACTTTTAATGCATATTGCGAGGTTTATGACAGACATTGGGTTAATTCACACCAATTCCAGTTATTTAAAACAGGCAGAAAGACAATGGATGGACTGGGGGTAGGGGGAAGCAGGTAAAAGGAAATGGGTGACCAGAAGTAGTGAGAGTGCTATTTTGTGCCTTTTCCAAAGAGATGATTTGGAAGATGGACTTATTATTGGAGAATGACCGGGCCAGGGATTTAGCTCAGTGGTTCTGCTGCCTGCCTCACAAGCGGAAGGTCCTGAGTTCTATCGCTGGTACAGAGAGAGAGAGAGAGAGAGAGAGACAGAGAGAGAGGGGGAGAGAGAGAGAGAGAGAGGGAGAGAGAGAGAGAG